GACAGACAGACAGACAGACAGACAGACAGACAGACAGACAGACAGACAGACAGACGAGATAGAAAAACAGACAGTAGGTGAAAGAAATCACTCACCTGTGCAACGCTCTCTCGGTCCCACCACTTGACAGCGTTGAGAAGTTTGGGCAAAGCTTTAGGGAGACTAGGGCACTTGTCCCTGTGGGGGAAATGGTTGGTTATTTTTAGTAAGTGTTTTACCGCGCTCGTAACTGCATACGGTCATATGAGCACGCGGGACACACCTAACATTTTCTGTTGGTAGGAAATTTTGAATTTTTCCCGGGTGGCGGCCAAAGCCTGCTCTCATCGATTTTAGACCACCAAAGGATCTTTAACGTGTGCAACTTACACACAGGCCCTCCTAGTTTTTCCGCCCTTGTCCGAGAAGGCTAGGTGTAGATCTTTCCTACCAGAAGATCAGGGGTGTGGCTGAAAGACAGCTGTAGGAAGGAGGGAAGGAGAAGCAGTAGAAAGGCTGCAGAAAGAGTAAGGAGCCCAGATGAGGGGGCAAATGAGGTGAGGGGGTGGGGGCAGAAAGTGGAAATGAAAGCAGACGACAGAACATTGCTGGAGAGCACAAAAGGAGGTGAAAGGAGACAATTTTTAGAGAAGAAAATCTTTCGGTCGTTACCCGGATTCGAACTCGGGACCTTTGAATGAGAGGCCAACACCTTAACCTCTAGGCCACGAGAGCCCCCGGGAAATGGAATGGTTGGTCATTGTAATAAAAGTGTTTTACAGCACTTGCAACACAATTAGGTCATATGAGGGTGCCACAGATTAGAGGTGTTACAAGAGAGTAACAAACACCTAAAAGAAGGAGTTGAGATAAGGACGATAGATGTTTGATAGGAAAGAAGAAGCAAAACCTCACCAGAGCACCCACCAACCAACCACATTATAGGAACAATATTAGTACAAGCTGTATTGTCTACTGAACATAAAACACGTTATTTGCAAAAATAAAATTTTAAGAATTTTAAACAGGAATGGGAAAGGACAAAGAAATTTAATTTAAAAAACAAAACTAACAGGAATGGGCAGGGTAAAAAAAAATGTAATAAAAATTAAACAAAACAAAACTAACAGGAATGAGAAGGGGAAAAAAATGTCATAAAAATAAAACAAAACAAAACAATTCAAAACCAACAGGAAGGGGCAGGGTCAAAAAATAAATCAATTAACTCTTTAAACCCTGAATTTTTTTCCACCATTTCCCAGAGTTTTTTCTACAGTCACCTAAACTTGATGCACAATGTCTCATTTATGACCCTATAAAAGACTGCCTCCAACTTCTAAATTATGGAAACAACAAAAGATCAGGAATAGTTCCGAAAAACAAGCAAAACCTAGCATCAGATGAAGTGAAACAGTTGTTGTCACTCGTATCGGACGTTGCCACACCCGATGGGGGACAGGGTTACTACCGCCCGGCACTCCCACTTAACAAAACAAAACCAAAAAAAACAAAACCAGCAGAAATGGGCATGGACAAAAAAATTAAATTTTAAAAAATCAAAATTTCAATAAAAACAAAAAACAACAACAATACAAAGACGCTCCCATTTTTTTCTTTTTTTTAAACAGCAGAAAAGGGCAATTACAAAAAAATTAAATTAAAAAACAAAATTTTTTTAAAAACCAACAAAGTTAAAAAAACCAAAAAAAATAAAACCAGCAGAAATGTGCTCGGACAAAAAAATAAGATTTTTAAAAATAATAATTTTTTTTAAACCATAACAACAACAACAACAACAAAGACGCTCCCAGTTTTAAAAAACCCAAAAACAAAACCAGCAGAAATGGACACAGGGAAAAAAAATACATTAAAAAAAAAAATTTCTAAAAAAAACAACAACAACAAAAAAAACCAACCAGTTGGTGGACCGCCTCTCCTCTCCTCACCTGAGGGCTAAAAAAAAAAATAATAAATAAAAAACCAGTTGGTGGCCTCACCTGAGGGCCCAGAGCAGCGTCTTCTCCTGTTCCGACAGATCAGACAGCGGGTCTTTCTCCACGATCTCCTCCAGCTGGGACAGCTGTTCCTCCGTCACCGTGTGGGGCTGCAACGTATGAGGAACAGTTAGTTAAACTCATTACCTCCGAGGGGGGGTAAACCCACTATGCCGAGGCCCATTTTTGGTACTAAATCTAAAAAGGGCAATCGATCAGGCTGTCGATTTAGGAAATGAACACTTTGCAGTCACTTGGCGCACTAATGCGTGGGTGAAAATTATCCATTCCGGTCACCTAGCGCACTTCTGCGCCGGGCCCGAGAAGTCCGTTGCAGTCGCTCTCCTAGCTGGGTGACCAGAAGGGGTATTTTGTACTGCTGGCTGTGTGACTGCAAAGTGTTTTTTTAAAAACTGGCAGCGCCAAAAATGGAAGATCAAAAAAAGGCGCGTTTTGTCAGCAGACTGCAGAACTGCGGCCATCGAAGGAAGGAAGGAATGAATGAATGAATGCACTCACGATGTTGCTCTGATTCTCCTTGAGGGCCACGACCTGCGACAGCTGCTCCAAGTGCGAGTCCGGAGGGTAGGACAGCGGGTGGGTGAACTCGTCAAACTCGATCTCCAGGCACGGACAGTCCTTGCTCGGGTTGGAGCCTGGGGGGCAGAAATAGGTAATCGAACCCTTCTCTTTAAAAAAAACAACCACTTCATCAACATTTGTTCCGCATGTTGTAGAATGCTGTGTTTGTGAACAATCCTGCAAACGTATACTTACTTACTAAGCCAGTTTGATGGATTTTCACATGATCATAATACCAAAGTCAATATTTTGACACCTGCCCCGCCACATACCGTACACAAAATTTTTAAAAACATCAAAACACAAAAATAACAACTATCAGATCCAAATTTTGGGGTTCAAATATGAACCATTCAGCACTAGAAAGTTAATTAATTTTGAAAAGACCAGTCTAACTAATCAGTTTTTAGCAAAGAGTTTTACAGTACTTGCAACACAAAACGATCATACAAGCGCAAAAGACTAGATAGAGGTGTTACTAGATAGCACAACACAAATGAAATAAAGAGGAGAGATTATGAAAGATAATAACAGACACCTGAATAGGAAAGAAAGAACATACCCAAACCCCACGAGAGTACCGATAAAGGATAATAGATATCTCAACAGGAAAGAAGGAACAAACCCAAACCCCACGACGAGAGTACCCGCCAACCAGCCACCCGCCCAGCCACCCAGCCACACAGACCTGTCGTTCCGATGGGGTTGAGAAGGTCGTCCATTCCCTGCGGCATAGACCACAGGTACAGCCGGAACTTGTCCTCCAGGTGTCGCTTGTTGAAGTCGAACAGCTGCAGGTTGCCCCAGGCCAGAGCGTATTGAACCTGTCGGGATAAAACCGCTGGTTAAGTTTCTTTCGATTATACTTATCATTAGTTGTTAATTTTTTTGTTTCGTTTTAGTATGAGTTTTATGGCACTTGCAAAACAATAAGGTCATACAAGTGCCGAAGACTCAGTTTAGTGTTAGTAAGAGTTTTACGGCACTTGCAACACAGTAAGGTCATACAAGTGCTGAAGATTTTGTTTTGTTTTAGTAAGAGTTTTACAGCACTTTGCAACACAATAGGGTCATAAAAGTGCCAAAGGTTAGAGGTGTTACAAGAGAGTAACAAACACAAAAAAGAAGGAGGGGAGATCAGGACGATAGATGTTTGACAAGAAAGAAGGAGCAAACCACACCAGAGCACCCGCTAACCACCCACAGTTTTTAATTTTAGTAATTGTTTGTTTGTTTTAGTTTTAGTAGAGGTTTTACGGCGCTCGCAACTGCATAAGGTCATATGAGCCCCAGAAGATTAGAGGTGTTACAAGAGAGTAACAAACATAAAAAAGAAGAAGGGGAGATAAGGACGACAGATGTTTGATAGGAAAGAAGAAGCAGACCACACCAGAGCACCTGCCAACCACCCACAGTATTTAACTTTAGTAATTGTTCGTTCGTTTGTTTGTTTGAGTAAAGAGAAGCACATCATCACAATAATGGTCATGTAGTGTAGTGTGGGGAAAAGTGAAACAGACAGACAGAAACAACAGAAGAAAAGTAAAGAAGTAGGACCTATCTGTTGCACCCTCCAACCACCCGCTAATTTTAGTAAGAGGATTTTTGTTGTTTTTTTGGAAAGTGTTTTACTGCACTCGCAGCTGCATAAGGTCATATGAACGCGCGGGACACATTAAACAGTTTCAGTTGGTAGGAAATTTTGAATTTGGCCCATGTGGCGGACGAAGCCTACTGTAATTGATTTTAGACCACCAAGGGATCTTTAACAAGCACAACTTGCACAGGGGACCACCGAGATTTTTTGCCCTTGTCCAAGAAGGCTGTAGATCTTTCCTACCACAAGATCAAGGGTGTAGCTGAAAGACAGCAGTAAGAAGGAGCCAAAGAGTAGCAGTAGAAAGGCTGCAGAAAGAGTCAGGAGCACAGAAGATTGGGCAAAGGGGGTAAAGGGGTGGGGGCAGAAAGTGGAGACGAAAGCAGACAACAGAACATTGTCAGAGAGCAAAGAAAGGATGTGAAAGGCGAAAATTTTACAGAAGAAAATTTTCAGTCACTATCCGAATTTAAACCCGGGGCCTCTTGAATGAGAGGTGGACATCTTAACCACGGGAGCCCCCAGAAGATTCAAGGTGGTGCAAGAGAGTAACTTTACTGTTACAGCTACAGTGCAGCCTCTCTATAACGATATTGTCGGGACCAGAAAAAAATGTTGTGAAAGAGGGCTGCCGTTATAGAGAGGCAACCAAAGATATTACTAATGATATATAGGGAAAAAAATCAGGACCTGGGCACCACGTCACTTATACAGAGAATGTTGTTATATCGAAGGTCGTTTTAGAGAGTAGCATTACTTTTACAGCTACAAGTACCTTTCTGTTCCATTGTTAGAGAGCAAGACAGGATGTGAAAGGAGAAAATTTTAGAGAAGAAAATTTTCCGCCGCTATCCGAATTCAAACCCGGGATCTCTTGAATGAGAGGCGGACATCTTAACCTCAAGGCCATGGGAGCCCCCAGAAGATTCGAGGTGCTACAAGAGAGAAGAAGAGTTAACGCTCAGATGCTGCTGGATCGCTAATAACAAATACAGCAAAGACAACAAGAGAGTAACTTTTTCTATCACAGCTACGAGTACCTTTCTGTTCCTCCTCTTGGACTCGGAGCAGATGGAGAGACAGAGGCGGGCCGAGCGCGGGAGATCAGGCACCATGAGGAACTCGAGCCACTCATCCCAACGGGGGCTGGATGAGTCCACCTGGTGGGTGTTCTTCGCCTCGCACAGCGCCTCTGTGCCGTGGTAGATGCACGCTCGGATGAAGATCTGGACACGGATTGAAAAATAGTGAGAGGAATCATAAAAGGAATCTATTCCTGTATATCATGATGCTATTTTTTTAAATCTTAAATGGAATAAGAAATAGTTTTTAGTTTTAATAAGAGTTTTACGGAACTAGCAACACAATAAGCATCAAAGGAATCTACTCCTGTATATCATGCTATTTTCAAAAATCTTAAATGGAATAAGAAATAGTGTTTTAAAAAAACCTTTAAAAGAATTCATTTCTGTTATAATATTATGTACTATGATTTATCTGCAAGGGATTTTTAAAAAATAGAAAAAGATAACTTTATGTGTGAAATGTTACTCTCTTAAAAAAGGGAAAGGTTTATGACCTTTACTTTGCTTAGTCTGCCTGTTTTTAAGCATTTTCCAACATGATGAGATGAAATCATGAATAATTTCCCCTGACACCACAGGCTATTTGTGAGGCATCGCCTGAGAAATCAGGTGCTCGACAAAATAAGGAAATCAAAGAAATCAGCATTTTTTCGGCTGATGGGCAATTTTTTTTCTAATTTTCTTATATAGACTCAACACGGTACACCCATTTAAATGATTTAAAACACATTTTTGTATGAATTTTACTGGGGGGGGGGGGGAATTGATTAAATGCACAAAAATGTAAATTTTCAGTTTCCATGACTCTCAGACAATGGAAGTTTCCAAACTTTGGTGACCATTTTGATTTTCTCGCTAATTTTACCTCAGAAACCAGGCAACTCTGACGGCCTTCAATTACAAATATTTCAACTTCTATTCAACAAAGACGACTTTTTTTTTCCATCAAAAGGAAGGAAAATGAACACGCTTTAAAAATAAATTATACCCATAACCCCTTAATGCCCCAAAATTGACTGATTCCATTACACCGAATTTTTGTTGGTTACAACAAACAAACAAAAAAAAGAAACTGTCGCACTCACACAAGCGGATGGTTAGAGAAGGTTAGGAGTACGTCATTAGCCAATATTTATAGTAACAGCCATCTTGTTTGTGTCATAAAATAGTGTTCTTCATTCTGATAAAAGACAAAAGAAGTTCCAGACCTACTGTCTCACCGTCTGATCGGAAGAAAAAAATGTGGAGTAAAAATAGAAACCTTTTTTTTCATCTTAGCAAAGTGTTATGATAATGCTCACATTATTATGTATATTAAAAGAATAGGTCAAACAAAATGGCTGTTACAATAAATATCGGCCAATGGCGTACTCGTAGCGCTCTCTAACTATCCGCTTGTCACACTCACTTTTAGTTTAGTTTTAGTAGAGATTTTACGGCGATCGCAACTGCATAAGGTCAAATAACTGAGCACCAGGAGATTAAAGGTGTTACAAGACAGAAACAAACACAAAAAAAGAAGAAGGGGAGGTAAGGACAATAGATGTTTCATAGGACAGAGATGCCAAATGATTTGGG